AGGTTAGTCTTTTTTCTTTATATCTGTTAGTCTATTAGACATTATTTGACAGTATTGCATCATTTATTAGTATTTGTTCTTTTTGGGTACAGGCAGTGTCAAATAAGAGAGATATTTGACGTCAATAAGAGGCAAAGCAGTTCCAGAACATGGATGTGTTTGTTTGGTTGTTCCTGAAAGTAAAATTCCAGAGTGGTTCAATCATCAGAGTGAGGGTTGTTCAATTACAGTAGAAAGGCCTCCATATATTTATAACAAGGGTAAGTTTGTAGATATGTTATGTGTTCTGTTTTTGCTATCCCTAAGACATCCGCCTCTAAGCAATAGTCAGTATCACTGGGACATTTGATCTCATGTACTATAATGTTGATTTCTATTTTGGTCCCGATCCCTGTATTCGCTTTAAAAAGGAGTTCGCCGAAGTTGTGTCACACCATCTTTGGATACTATATTTTCCTCGTCACCATCAAAAACTCAAAAAATCTAATCGTTCGAAACATGATCGTGTGGGTTTTGGATTTAATACAAGCGGGATTGGAGATGAAAAGGTGTGGGTTCTGTCCAATATACGAAATGATGTCAAAGAGTTTTAGAAAATAACGAGCTCCAATCATGATTTTGGAATTTGAATGATCTTATTAGATGATCTACTAAACGTCATGCTAGTATGATGGAGCTAATTTTGTGTGGGAATTAATTGCTTTGTATAGGCTTTCATGTGTGTACATTTCCTTGTAGGAAAGTTGATAATGTTGATGTCGGACATTATTATTTGAAATAGTAAGAATACTGGTACAGCAGAGAGCAAGAGTGAATGAAAGGGAATTAAAACTTAATGTATTATTCTCTTTCAACTAGGGGTGAGCACAGGTAGTGGGTAGAACCGGAACCTGGGATAAGAACCGAAACCGGAACCAAAACCGAAACTTACCCGGAACCGGCACTATGTGGGTGGTTCCGGTTCCAATTTTTTGAAACCGATACTGTGCGGTTCCAGTTCCGGTTCTTGTGTGTGGGGAACCAAAACTGGAACCGGAACCTGTAAAAAGGGTACCCTGTTTGGAACCTATAGGGGGTACCCGGTTTGGAACCGATTTTTGGAACCTATTTGAAACCTGTTTTAGACCTGTTTGGAACCTGTTTTGGAACCTGTTTTAGAACCTATTTGGAACCTGTTTTGGAACCTGGACTGCAATTAAATATTTGTTAATGTGAATAATGGGGGTTTCTATTATTTTACATATAAAAAAATTTAAAATAGAAAAAGTTAAATTTTCAAAATAACCTAATTAAATAATATACTAATACAATTATATTTATTACATATAAATTACACCATATTAAAACTTTATATATTAATACATTAATATTAAAGTTTTGATTAATTAGGTAAATAATTGGAATTATGATCCAATTAAAAGTGTTTATATTTTTAATGTTATTAAAAGAATTATTTTTGAATAAAATAGTATATTTGATTGAATAATAATACATTTGGTTATTTATTAATTATCAAGTTCTAAGTATATCTATAATAAATTAGTAATTAATTAATTATATATGATAAATTGATAAACATTAATAAATTTAATTACTAGTTAATATCATACTTAATCAATTTAATATTACATTATAGTTAAATGATTACTTAATAATTATAATTTTATAACATTTAATTGATTTATAGTATAATTAATTACAACATTACATTAATTGATTACTACTTAATTAATTGACTTATAAGTTATACCATTTAGTATATTACTTAATTAAATAAAGAAATTTAATTAATTATAGTATTATATTATAGATTTATAGTATAATTACTTAATCAATTATAACATTTCATTATAAACATAGTACAACCTTAATTAAATGATTAAAATTTTAATTAATTATAATATTATATTAAAGATTTATAGTACGATTACTTAATAGTTAATTCACTATAACATTACATTATAGATAATTACATAGTTAATTATAACATTACATTATTAAATGATTACTTAATGATTATGACATTATATTATAAATATTAGTAATTACTATTTACTACATAAACATTAGCATAATACTTAATTAAATGATTAGAAATTTAATTAATTACAACATTATATTATAAATTTATAGTACGATATTATTGTAACATTACATTATAATTAAATGATTACTTAATTAATTAATATTCTATTATAAACAAATTAATTATAATATTTTATTAAAGACTTATAGTATGATTACTTTATTCATTGTAACATTTTAATATTTCATTATAGTATGATTAGTTAATTACATAATTAATTATAATATTACATAATTAGATGATTATTTAATTGATTATGACATTATATTATAAACATTAATTAAAACAAATGATTACTTAATTAAATGATTAGAAATTTAATTAATTAAATATTACATTATAGTTAATAATTACTTAATTAAATTATAATATTATTACATTACATTATATTATGATCACTTTTAATTATAGTATTACTAGTTAAATGGTTAATTAATTAGTTATAAAGTAATTTACTACATTATTATTTGTTACATTACATAATTAAATGATAAAAATTTAATTAATTGTAACATAACATTAATATCTATAATCTGATTACTTAATTCACTATAACATTACATTATAGTGTGATCACATAATTAATTATAATAGTACATAATTAAATAATTACTTAATTGATATAGTTATGATATTATGTTTTAAACATTAGTAATTTTAATTTACTACTAAACATCAGCACAATACTTAATTAAATGATTAGAAATTTATTAATTAAATATTACCTTATAAACATTTCATTATAAACATAATTAAGCATTATATTATAGTTAAATAATTACTCAATTAAATTATAACATTATTATATTACATTATATTATGATTACCTACTTAATTATAGCATTACATAGTCAAATGATTACATAATTAGTTATAAATTTATAACATTACATTATAAATATTAGTAATTTACTATATCATTATATTGATAATTAAACGATTAAAAATTTAATTAATTATAACATTACCTATATATTTATAATATGATTACTTAATCAATTATAACATTTTATTATAAACATTAGTATATTAATAAATAATTAGAAATTTAATTAATTATATATTAAATTATAGCTTTATAGTATAATTACTTAATTCATTATACAATTACATTATATTATTTAGTATGATCATATAATTAATATAACATTACATAATTAAATTATTACTTAATTGATTATGACATTATATTATAACATTAGTAATTTACTAATTTACACATACTTAGTTAAGTGATTAGAATTTTATTCATTATACATTACATTATAAACTATGGTATGGTTACTTAATTAATTATAACATTATATTATAAACAATATTACAAACTTAATTAAATGATAAATTAATTAATTAAATATACATTATAATTAAATAATATATTACTTAATTAATTATAACATTACAATTTACATTATAGTATGATCACTAATTAATATAACATTCACAATTAAATGATTACTTATTTATTTAATTAATTATGACATTATATTATAACATTAAACATAAGTATTAATTAAATTATTAGAAATTTAATTGATATAACATTACATTTAAATAATTACTTAAATAATTATAAGTATTTATAATATACATTATAGTATGATCACTTAATAATTATAACATTGCATATAATTTAATAATTACTTAATTAATTACCACATTATTATTACATTATAAACATTACTAATTTATAATATTAAATTTACTAAATTATAATTAGTAATATAAATACCCAATTGGCCAATTATAACATTAAATTAATCAATTTATAAACATTAATAATTTATTAATTATCAATTTATAAACATTAATAATTTATTAATTTATCAAATAGACCCCTGCCAAATTAACAACTATTGTAAACTAATGTAATGGGGTCTATTAATTTATCAAATAGACCCCTGGCAAATTACTAATAGACCAGTGACAATGTTAGAAATTAGTATAAAAATGGGTATCATGTAATTTACATTTACAATCAAAGCAAAATACCCAATTCGATTAGGGTATCTCAATTGACAAATTCTTCCTTCTCCTTCTCTCTGCGACTCTGCTGTTCTTCTCCGTGTTGGCTACTTTCTGGTTCTTCTCCATTCTCAAATTGAATGATTTTGGTGAAGTTATTTGATGTGAATTGGGATGAATAATTGTTTGTGTTTTGGTTTTGATTGACGAATTTTATGTGAATTGTGATGAATTGATTGAATTTAGGTGTTGCTTAGAGATTATATATTATGAGTTACATTGGACACAAATGAATGAATAATCAAAATTTTTTAGGGGTGTATTTGTAAACTTTTAAGGTATTTTTGTCATTTTTTAAACTAATAGGGGGTAATTGATTTTTTACAGGGTACCCGGGAAAGGAACCGGAACCTGCATTTTAGGTTCCGGTTCCTTGAATTGAAGAACCTGTACTGTGCGGTTCAGATTCCGGTTCCCTTTTTTGGGAACCTGCACTGTGCGGTTCCGGTTCCAATTCCCTCAGAAAATACAGGGTACCCGGAACTGCTCACCCCTACTTTCAACAATGGGATTAAATAGTTACAAGATACAGGCTTGTTCCTAAAGTTTAGGAACTAGAATGACTAATTACAGGAAGGAAAGATTATAGGAATCATGTACAACTAAGAAATATACAAAAGAGGAAATAAAATATACAAGAGGAGAGAATGTAAGAGACTGATAGAAATGATTTTGTAACACTCCCCCTCAAGTTGGTGCATAGATGTCACACATGCCTAACTTGTCAAGACACCGACTAAATGCTTGACTAGATACTGCCTTAGTTAGCACATATGCAAGTTGATCTTCAGACCGAACATGAGACACCTAAATGATTTTTGCTTCCAGTTTTTCCTTGATGAAATGTCTATCAACTTCAACGTGCTTAATTCGATCATGTTGAACTGGATTATGAGCAATATCGCACGCTGCTCATAGGACCGACCTGCCGAATATGTAAATCTTGCATTAAATTCCTGATCCATAATAATTCACATATTCCTTTAGCCATCCCTCTGTATTCAGCCTTAGCGCTAGATCTGGCTACAACCTCTTGCTTCTTACTCTGCCAAGTAACTAGATTTCCACCCACAAATGTGAAATAACCAGATGTAGAACTTCTATCATCAACTGATCCAGCCCAACCAACATCGGTATACCTTTTAATATCCAAGCTACTCCCTTTTGTAAACATAATACCCTTTCCAGGAGATGACTTTAAGTATCGCAAAATGCGAATAACAGCATTCATATGGTCTTCTTTTGGGGAATGCATGAATTGACTGACAACACTTAATGCATAAGCCAAACCTAGTCGAGTATGTCCAAGATATATTAGTCTGCCTACTAATCTCTGATAACGTTCTTTGTTAGCAGGGATTTGATTCGAATCCATACTTAGTTTCAAATTTTCCTCCATAGGAGTACTAACTGGACTGCAAGCAAACATTCCTGTTTCATCTAATAAATCTAAGGCATATTTCCGCTGAGATAAGAAAATACCTTTCTTCGACCTTGACACCTCAATTCCTAGGAAGCACTTCAATGGACCCAGATCTTTCATTTTAAATTCTTGAGCGAGATGTCTTTGTAACGCAGCCTTCTCTTCTGGATCATTTCCTGTCACTATCATGTCATCAACATACACAATAAGAGCAGTGATTTTCTCTTTATTATGTTTCAACAACAGAATATGATCCGAGTTACTTTGTTGATATCCAAAAACCTTCATAGAGCTAGTAAATCTGTCAAACCAGGCTCAAGGAGATTGCTTTAAACCATACAAAGACTTTCTCAATTTGCAAACCTCTTNCATTTTTCTTTAACATTCAAAAAGTTACTGTTCATCCAGAGTTACTGTTCACAGTAGCTAAACTTTCAAAATTCTCATAGCAAACAAGTCCCCTTCCTCCCCAATTCCACCCCCAACACCATGGGAAAGTGCCAACAAAAAAATTCAAGAAGAACTTGATGAAGTAAAAAGAAATATGTCAAGCATGATGGAATTGATGGTTAACATGTCTAAGGACATTGCCAACCTTTCACAACCCAAACCCACCTTTGAGGAAACCCCACAACCACCCTCACGGGATGGTCGCCCACACTACCACTTGGACGATTGTAAGAGGCTTCAATCTTTGCCAGAGCTTCCATCCAATATCAGATTTGTTAATGTGGATGGTTGTACTGCATTAGAAAGATTATCAAATGTTTTAGGATTATGTAATTTGGAGTTGTCAACAATTTCATGCCTGAACTGCTTGAAATTAACCCGCTGCAATAGTAAGCCATTTTCAATGCTGAACGAACACCTTGATAAGGTTAGTCTTTTTCTCTTTATATCTGTTAGTCTATTAGACATTATTTGACAGTATTGCATCATTTATTAGTATTTGTTCTTTTTGGGTACAGGCAGTGTCAAAACTAAGAGAGATATTTGACGTCAATAAGAGGCAAAGGCAGTTCCAGAACATGGATGTGTTTAGTTTGGTTGTTCCTGAAAGTAAAATTCCAGAGTGGTTCAATCATCAGAGTGAGGGTTGTTCAATTACAGTAGAAAGGCCTCCATATATTTATAACAAGGGTAAGTTTGTCGGATATGTTGTGTGTTCTGTTTTTGCTCTCCCTAAGCATCCGCCTCTAAGCAATAGTCAGTATCACTGGGGACATTTGATCTCATGTACTGTAAATGTTGATTTCTATTTTGGTCCCGATCCCTGTATTCGCTTTAAAAAGGAGTTCGCCGAAGTTGTGTCACACCATCTTTGGATACTATATTTTCCTCGTCACCATCAAAAACTCAAAAAATCTAATCGTTCGAAACATGATCGTGTGGGTTTTGGATTTAATACAAGCCCGGGATTGGAGATGAAAAGGTGTGGGTTCTGTCCAATATACGAGAATGATGTCAAAGAGTTTTACAAAATAACGAGCTCCAATCATGATTTTGGAATTTGAATGATCTTATTAGATGATCTACTAAACGTCATGCTAGTATGATGGAGCTAATTTTGTGTGGGAATTAATTGCTTTGTATAGGCTTTCATGTTGTGTACATTTCCTTGTAGGGAAAGTTGATAATGTTGATGTCGGACATTATTATTTGAAATAGTAAAGAATACTGGTACAGCAGAGAGCAAGAGTTGAATGAAAGGGAATTAAAACTTAATGTATTATTCTCTTTCAACTAGGGGTGAGCACGGGTAACGGGTAGAACAGGAACCTGGGATAAGAACCAAAACTGGAACCAAAACCGAAACTTACCCGGAATCGGCACTGTGTGGGTAGGTTCCGGTTCCAATTTTTTGAAACCAACACTGTGCAGTTCCGGTTCTGGTTTTTGTGTGTGAAGGAATTGGAACTGGAACTGGAACCGGAACCTGTAAAAAGGGTACCCTGTTTGGAACCTATAGAGGGTACTCGGTTTGGAACCGATTTTTGGAACCTGTTTGGAACTTGTTTTGGAACCTGTTTTGGAACCTATTTGGAACCTGTTTTGGAACCTGTTTTGGAACCTATTTTGGAACCTGTTTTGGAACCTGGACTGCAATGAAATATTTGTTAAATGTGAATAATGGGGGGTTTCTATTATTTTACATATAAAAAAATTTAAAATAGAAAAAGTTAAATTTTTAAAATAACCTAATTAAATAAATATACTAATACAATTATATTTATTACATATAAATTACACCATATTAAAAACTTTAATATATTATAATACATTAATATTAAAGTTTTGATTAATTAAGTAAATAATTGGAATTATGATCCAATTAAAAGTGTTTTATATTTTTAATGTTATTAAAAGAATTATTTTTGAATAAAATAGTATATTTGATTGAATAATAATACATTTAGTTATTTATTTCAATTATCAAGTTCTAAGTATATCTATAATAAATTAGTAATTAAATTAATTATATATGATAAATTGATAAACATTAATAAATTTAATTACTAGTTAAATATCATACTTAATCAATTTAATATTACATTATAGTTAAATGATTACTTAATTAATTATAATTTTATAACATTTAATTGATTTATAGTATAATTAATTACAACATTACATTAATTGATTACTACTTAATAATGACTTATAAGTTATACATTTAGTATATTACTTAATTAAATAAAGAAATTTAATTAATTATAGTATTATATTATAGATTTATAGTATAATTACTTAATCAATATAACATTTCATTATAAACATAGTACAACCTTAATTAAATGATTAAAATTTTAATTAATTATAATATTATATTAAAGATTTATAGTACGATTACTTAATAGTTAATTCACTATAACATTACATTATAGATAATTACATAGTTAATTATAACATTACATTATTAAATGATTACTTAATGATTATGACATATATTATAAATATTAGTAATTACTAATTTACTACATAAACATTAGCATAATACTTAATTAAATGATTAGAAATTTAATTAATTACAACATTTATTATAAATTATAGTACGATATTATTGTAACATTACATTATAATTAAATGATTACTTAATTAATTTAATATTCTATTATAAACAAATTAATTATAATATTTATTAAAGACTTATAGTATGATTACTTTATTCATTGTAACATTTTAATATTTCATTATAGTAGATTGTTAATTACATAATTAATTATAATATTACATAATTAGATGATTATTTAATTGATTATGACATTATATTATAAACATTAATTAAAACAAATGATTACTTAATTAAATGATTAGAAATTTAATAATTAAATATACATTATAGTTAATAATTACTTAATTAATTATAATATTATTACATTACATTATATTATGATCACTTATTAATTATAGTATTACTAGTTAAATGGTTAATTAATTAGTTATAAAGTAATTTACTACATTATTATTGTTACATTATAATTAAATGATTAAAAATTAATTAATTGTAACATAACATTAATATCTATAATCTGATTACTTAATTCACTATAACATTACATTATAGTGTGATCACATAATTAATTATAATAGTACATAATTAAAAATACTTAATTGATTATAAGTTATGATATTATGTTTTAAACATTAGTAATTTTAATTTACTACTAAACATCAGCACAATACTTAATTAAATGATTAGAAATTTATTAATTAAATATTACCTTATAACATTTCATTATAAACATTAATTAAGCATTATATTATAGTTAATAATTACTCAATTAAATTATAACATTATTATATTACATTATATTATGATTACCTACTTAATTATAGCATTACATAGTCAAATGATTACATAATTAGTTATAAATTTATAACATTACATTATAAATATTAGTAATTACATTCATATATTGATTAATAAACGATTAAAAATTTAATTAATTATAACATTACCTATATATTTATAATATGATTACTTAATCAATTATAACATTTATTATAAACATTAGTATATTAATAAATAATTAGAAATTTATAATTATATATAAATTATAGCTTTATAGTATAATTACTTAATTCATTATACAATTACATTATATTATTATAGTATGATCATATAATTAATATAACATTACATAATTAAATATACTTAATTGATTATGACATTATATTATAACATTAGTAATTTACTAATTTACACCATACTTAGTTAAGTGATTAGAATTTTATTCATTATACATTACATTATAAACTATGGTATGGTTACTTAATTAATTATAACATTATATTATAAACAATATTACAATACTTAATTAAATGATAAAATTAATTAATTATAATATTACATTATTAATTAAATAATATATTATTAATTAATTATAACATTACAATTTACATTATAGTATGATACTAATTAATATAACATTCACAATTAAATGATTACTATTTATTTAATTAATTATGACATTATATTATAACATTAAACATAAGTATTAATTAAATTATTAGAAATTTAATTGATATAACATTACATTTAAATAATTACTTAAATAATTATAAGTATTTATAATATACATTATAGTATGATCACTAATAATTATAACATTGCATATAATTTAATAATTACTTAATTAATTACCACATTATTATTACATTATAAACATTACTAATTTATAATATTAAATTTACTAAATTATAATTAGTAATATAAATACCCAATTGGCCAATTATAACATTAATTAATCATTAAACATTAATAATTTATAATTATCAATTTATACATTAAATTTATTAATTTATCAAATAGACCCCTGCCAAATTAACAACTATTGTAAACTAATGTAATGGGGTCTATTAATTTATCAAATAGACCCCTGGCAAATTACTAATAGACCAGTGCAATGTTAGAAATTAGTATAATAAATGGGTATCATGTAATTTACATTTACAATCAAAGCAAAATACCCAATTCGATTAGGGTATCTCAAATTGACAAATTCTTCCTTCTCCCTTCTCTCTGCGACTCTGCTGTTCTTCTCCGTGTTGGCTACTTTCTGGTTCTTCTCCATTCTCAAATTGAATGATTTTGGTGAAGTTATTTGATGTGAATTGATGAATAATTGTTTGTGTTTTGGTTTTGATTGACGAATTTTATGTGAATTGTGATGAATTGATTGAATTAGGTGTTGCTTAGAGATTTATATTATGAGTTACATTGGACACAAATGAAGAATAATCAAAATTTTTTAGGGGTGTATTTGTAAACTTTTAAGGTATTTTTGTCATTTTTTAAACTAATAGGGGTAATTGATTTTTTACAGGGTACCCGGAAAGGAACCGGAACCTGCATTTTAGGTTCCGGTTCTTGAATTGAAGAACCTGACTGTGCGGTTCAGATTCCGGTTCCCTTTTTGGGAACCTGCACTGTCGGTTCCGGTTCCATTCCCAGAAAATACGGGTACCCGGAACTGCTCACCCTACTTTCAACAATGGGATTAATAGTTACAAGATACAGGCTGTTCCTAAAGTTTAGGAACTAGAATGACTAATTACAGGAAGGAAGATTATAGGAATCATGTACAACTAAGAAATAACAAAAGAGGAAATAAAATATACAAGAGGAGAGAATGTAAAGACTGATAGAAATGATTTGTAACACTCCCCCTCAGTTGGTGCATAGATGTCAACATGCCTAACTTGTCAAGACACCGACTAAATGCTTGACTAGATACTGCCTTAGTTAGCACATATGCAAGTTGATCTTCAGACCGAACGAGACACCTAAATGATTTGCTTCCAGTTTTTCCTTGATGAAATGTCTATCAACTTCAACGTGCTTAATTCGATCATGTTGAACTGGATTATGAGGAATATCGCACGTGCTCATTAGGCCGACCGCCGAATATGTAAATCTTGCTTAAATTCCTGATCATAATAATTCACATATTCCTTAGCCATCCTCTGTATTCAGCCTTAGCGTAGATCTGGCTACAACCTCTTGCTTCTTACTCTGCAAGTAACTAGATTTCCACCCACAAATGTGAAATAACCAGATGTAGAACTCTATCATCAAGATCCAGCCCAACCACATCGGTATACCTTTTAATATCCAAGCTACTCCCTTTTGTAAACATAATACCCTTTCCAGAGATGACTTTAAGTATCGCAAAATGCGAATAACAGCATTCATAGGTCTTCTTTTGGGGAATGCATGAATTGACTGACAACACTTAATGCATAAGCCAACCTAGTCGAGTATGTCCAAGATATATAGTCTGCCTACTAATCTCTGATAACGTTCTTTGTTAGCGGGATTTGATTCGAATCCATACTAGTTTCAAATTTTCCTCCATAGAGTACTAACTGGACTGCAAGCAAACATTCCTGTTTCATCTAATAAATCTAAGGCATATTTCCGCTGAGATAAGAAAATACCTTTCTTCGACCTTGACACCTCAATTCCTAGGAAGCACTTCAATGGACCCAGATCTTTCATTTAAATTCTTGAGCGAGATGTCTTTGTAACGCAGCCTTCTCTTCTGGATCATTTCCTGTCACTATCATGTCATCAACATACACATAAGAGCATGATTTTCTCTTTATTATGTTTCAACAAAAGAATATGATCCGAGTTACTTTGTTGATATCCAAAAACCTTCATAGAGCTAGTAAATCTGTCAAACCAGGCTCAAGGAGATTGCTTTAAACCATACAAAGACTTTCTCAATTTGCAAACCTTGACTTCCTTTAATCTGCATTT